GGAGGCCATCATGGCTGAGGAAGCTGTCTGTGAAGACATTAAGAGACTTGATTCCATCAGAGAAATCATGCAGGAAAATGTGAAGAAACAACAGGAGTGCACCCAGCAGAGACTCAAGTTGGGTTCTCCCAAAGCAGACTTTAAAGTTGGGGACCAGGTGTGGAGGCAGAACAAGAGAAGTGAACAAAGGAAGGGGGGCAAACTGGAGCCAAATTTTCTGGGCCCTTATATGATTTTGCCACTGGAGGGGAAAAGTGCAGACATACAAGGAGAAAATGGAACTGTTCACAAAAAAGTAAACACTGACCATTTAAAATTAATGATTAAAGGCGATCGTCACATTCCATCTCAGATCATAAAGAAGGACATTTCAGCCCAAACGCCAGCAGTCCCAGCATCAACATCTATGTCCACATCAACTTCCAAAACCCACTGTTATATGCTTTGCACCTGCTGCCAAAGTAGCATCACCACCCCCCCCTGGCACCATCATCAGAGACCTGCCAGGTACAACCAGCTGATGAAGCACCACCGCCACCCCAGGGAGCACCAGCACCAGTCTGGCCATTACCCCAAGCCGCCCAGGCACCACCATCATCAGAGACCTGCCAGGAACCACATGCCTCACCATCACCAGCAAAGTATAATGCATATAACGCAACCTCAGAAAAAGGTGATTATTTAATATTGGGCGGCACAGTGGTGCTACCTCACAGCAAGTAGGTCCTGGGTTTGATCCCCTGGTTGGGTGTAGGTCCTGTCTGTGTGGAATTTGCATGCTGTTTGCGTGTGTTTCTGCCGGTGGCTCCGGTTTCCTCCCACAGTCCAAAAGTGCGTACGATAGGTTAATTGCCAACTCTAAGCTGGTCCCCTAATTGTTTGAGTGTGTGCACCTTGTGGTGTGTTGCTATGCAGGGTTGGTTCCCACCTGTGCCCCTTGTTCTTGTGATCTTGGACTCCGGTCCCCCCCACAACCCCAGTTCGCATGAAGCAGTCACGGTGATGGATGGATATTTAATATTGATGACTATTTAATATTATTTTTAGTTAGTAATGATCTGAGGTTGCCTACGTTTCCAGGCAATATTTGTTCAAATAATTCAAACCAAAAAATACCAACTGTCACAAATGGAAAGAAAGTAAAAGGATTATAAGATAAAAATGTGTTGACATAGATCAATTTTAAACTTAAAACTAGCATTACACTGTAAATTGTAACATCAACATTGTCTAATACTGTTCACAGATCTGCAGGATGCTTGGGCAGGAAAGAATGTCCATGTTCTGCTTTCTAAAGTGGGACCCTATAAATTGTTTTCCTGGGACATTGCAAAAATTGGTCCTAAGATGGAACTGGAGAGTGAGGTATTTTGCCATTATTATAATATGCATTGCTATCATCAATAATCAATTATGAACTGTTTACATGTAAACAGTTATTTGTAATTTATCAATAACCATTCAGGAGTATCACGATATATTGTCCAGCAAAACCATGAGAAGACTCATCTTCAATCTTACAACAATGTAAATACAGTGTATTAGACCAAATATCACTGTTTTTCTCATATGAATTCTTAATCATGTCATCTTCATTCACAGGTCATCAATGCATACTTAAGACTGCTGGTGCAGAGATGCAACAAAGAAAAAGGGCACAAAGCAGCTCTCATTGATTCCTACGCCATGACAGCAATGTGGGATCGCAAACTCTCCAGACTGCGGGTACTTAGTGGAACATGATTGAACAATTGTAATTATGTCTTCAATGAGAGCAAAAATAATGATGTTTTTCATCAAATCTTAGATGGATCCAATGTCAAGTGAGTCAGTGATTTGGCTATAAGTCTTTCTATATTTCTGAGCTTGGAAAAACACCATATCTACATATCAGCATTCTTTAGTAACCTAGACGTTTTTGTAGGAAGATACAAAATTTTCAAAAGGAACTGTTTAGTAGCTCTTTCTGTAACACATGTATAATGTTTATTAATGTTTGAAATATTGTAATATTCACACTTTACAAACACATAGGTTCTATATCCACATGAAAAGAGGTGCCTGTTTTTGGATCCTTTGGGAGAAAAAGCAGCTGATCTGAGAAGGTGCCAGGAGACCACAAGGTAAATTCGGCTCTCTGGTGCCTTACTGAAAAGCAAAAGCTAATTAGTGTGCTTTTAAATCATATGGCAGCATTTTCACAAGCATTTCTTTCTGTATGTCAAGGGCCTTCATGAGGCAGAAGGGCTACAGGAGTTCAAGGTGGTCATGCGGCACCCTTCCTCATTCTCTCCAGAGAGATGCAGTTTCCTGTGGTGTCCTGGCGTTAAAGGTTCGTATTGTTTTTAAGCTATGTTTTAAACTGCAAATTCATTTTAAGAATGTTGAATGACAACTCAGTTGTAAACATAAATCTTTTAATTTTTTTAGTTATTCTGTGCTTCTAAATTATATCAATCCAACTTTTCTTCAGTTTGCAGAAAAAAAATTCAATGGTGATAATTTAACGTTTGACGCCTCAGAGAAACAAATTAACAAAATGAGGCTGGATATAGCCACAACCCTCCTCCAGGAATCTGGTGTGTGTTCTTTTTTGAAGGCCATAGATAATCCCTTTCTGTTTAAATCAGACATGAATTAAAAAGAACTAGCGTAATAAAATATAGCATTTTAAGATAACATGTAGAAATAATATTTAAGAAACATGTTAGTATACAATGTTTATAAAATACTTCTAGGTTAATATTTAATCTCTTTTTGTTTTTGCAGATGATCTCAGTGGTGTGTGTTACTATTGTGTTAGTGAGGAAGGAGACACACTATGGGTAACTTTAAATTATAAATTCGATGGGTGCTTGTTGCATGTCATCTCACCCCCCTCTCTTCCTACCATTTCCTGTCACTCTCCACTTTCCTTTGTGTAATAATGCAATTAAAACACACATAAATATGTATTCTTGTGTGTGTGTGTGTGTGTGTGTGAGAGAGAGAGAGAGAGAGAGAGAGAGTGAATGAATATAAAAACTGTTTTGATAAATCAGATTACACTCTGCAATGCAGTCTTGGTGTTAACATTAGTCTAGGTGTAAACATCAATTCTGCTGTAGTAAGAGTAGGCATAGATTTTAAAACTTGTCAGAAAATCACTTAAAGAATTTATTTATTTGTTTGTTTGGTTATTTTGCAGATTTGCTGTGACAGTTGTGAACGATGGTTTCACGTAAGCTGTGTTCAGCATCCTTCGGTGGACGAGGACTCTACTCTTTCTGCTGCGCTGGAGAAGCGACTTTGCCTTTAAATGGAGCGATGACGTCAGGGGAGGCAATCCGTGGCAGGGGGGCAGATTAGGGCACAACACCTGTTACATCCAGCGCAGATACGTACATAGTCGGGATTATTAATAGTCAGCATCTGGTCAGGGAAAGTTGGATTACTACATGTACAATATAATAATCTATACCACAAGTGCGTCTGCTGAGGTGTGGCATGAATAAATGGTGTCCTGTAGTTGTGTTCTGGGCATACAGCAATTCTGGATATAACGGACTTTGGTAACGGACTGTTACCAAACAGGTCCCTTGACGTCCGTTGTAACTGGATTTTACTGTAGTATGATGTGACGCCACATAACTGGGAAACTTTGTCTTGTAGCCCCTCAGAGTCAGAAGCAAGATCCAGCACCAAACACCAGCCATGAGCCCACAAGTCCAGAGTGGGCAGGCAGGTTTACTCATTGAGTGAATATCATTAGAATTAATATAATGAAGAGTATGGTGTAGACCTGCTCTATATGAAAAGTGCCCTGAGATGCTAGATGATTCAGCACTACATTAATGACACTGACCTGAATTGATCAGAAGGTTTTGTAAAAAGGGGAGATTTGTGCTGAGAATTATGGCCATTTTTAAAATGTGATTCAGTGTCAGAAGCAAAGCCAGGAGACAGTAGTGATGAGGGGAATGTTCCTGTCAGTATGGAAGGAACAGGGGAGCTGTTGTAACAGAGTGTGTGAACAAGCAAGCTTTAGTTCCAATATAACCACTTTCTATGCCCAAACGATAGTAGTGACCCGTTATATTTTTTATCGTTAATGGATATCTGTGAACACTTCATTGAACAGAATATAGATTCTGATATTGTTGAAAAGGATGTGTTGTAAAGAATAATGTTGGAGATGTGCCTCATGTTGAAATAAATCTACATTGTGAAGCAACCCTTACTTGCACTGAATTAGAAATATTTTAGAAAAATACACTGAATTACAAGGCTTTACAGAACAGTGTGCTATTGTAGACTTAACATGTAAGGTTATAATTGCACGATTTTAATAATAATAGTCGTGATCTAAAGTGGGCAGGTCTGAGGCATGAAACTCCAGGGGTGAAAATGAGTCCGGCCCTGCCCTCAAGAGTCTGTCAGTTGCACCCTTAGCTCTAGCTAATTGTACCTCTTGAGGTACAGAAACGGACTCCCATTCCGACAATGTTCAGAATCACGTCTTGATTTTTTTCCTTTGCAGTTTCTTTTATAAGCGTCCATTGCGGAGGTTTCGTGTCCTCAGTACCTGGACGCTGACCTTAGGCGAACAAGCTGCATATGTAAACGCAAAGTTTTTACACTAGGGGGCAGTAAATCTCTAACAATCATTCAAATAGGAGGCAAATTACTGAGTAAAGAGAATATAACAAGTTCACGAGAGGAGCAACACATTTTATTTTTTGGGATGCAATCTGCGTGTAATTTTGATTTCAACATTCTCATTAATGCCAGTTTGCCTCTTTCGCCTGATCAGTGATATGTTTAAAAATGGTTTTGATGGCCATATATTTTCACTTGTATATAGAGTGCTTATAAATACAGGCTCTGGGCAAAAGCCCTTTTAATTTTAACTGCAGGGAACTGACACAAGTGATTAAATAGCATTTAAAGCTGTCTAATATAGTGTAAAATACAGCAAGAGATTGTTTTGAAAAGTAGAATAATGATTGTATCCATCTGTTCCCCTGTGGTGAAATTGATTGCAGCAAACCCCCCCCCACCCCCATTGGGCCACATTACTGCAGCCTCACACTTAACGAGATTATCTGTGCTTTGTGGCACATTAAAACATGGAGGTGTTGTTATTGCCCCATTGTTAGTCACACCAGCCGTCCGCAGAGGCCGAGTGTCCTCCGTGATCTGCTGATAACAATCAGCCCAGAGGCATCATTGTAAACATCACGCCATTTTCCACTAGACTTACTGCAATCAGGTGGAATGCAGGCCACGTAGGCAGCCAGCAAGGGGCTTCAGTGGCTAATGAGTTAATTAGCTTATTACAGGCAACGGGACCAAAGAGGCTTCAGAATAGGGCCGTGTTCCTGCCCCGCGTCTCCCTACCAAGCACAGATGATGTGTTAATTATGTCATAAACTGCACTCTCCCTAAATTAATCACTGCTTATTTACATTCGACTCATGTGTGTGGGTGTTTAGGCCGCTGTGGAACTCACCTGCAGCTTACGTCAACCGGCCTGTTTCTGGAGGACCGCACACACCATCTAATAAGTGATTATTAGCATACACACATTATGTATCTATATCTTTGTAGGGACTCTCCATTCATTTCTATGGGCATAACCCTAATCCCAACTATGACAACCTTAACCCCTACCCAGCCGTAAACTTAACCATAAGTAACCAAACAAAATACAAGACATTTGGTTATTTTTGTTTTTTGGTTGCTTTCGTAGATTTTTATAAAATTGAGGTTATTCTCGCGGAGATCAAAAAAATGTCCCCACAAGGTAAAAAGTTACAGGTTTCTTATTGCATCGTGCAGAAATCTGGTCTCCACCATATATTAATTACGGAAACACACTCAAACACATGCACAGATGCGTGCGAGCACACACACACACACACACACACACACTGTCCATTCTGCTTCAATATCCAGTGCTGCTAGAATGCTTGAATGGTTTGACTTTGAAGTTGTTATCTGTGTGAATAAACCACGGCCAGGCTGAGTACGAACCCACCGCTGCCCCCAGCTCAGTGTGGGGTGACTGAGGACAGGATCAGCAGCCCCTCATCCCCCACTTAAATCCCCCAAATTTGAAACGCGTGGCACACCCACTGCAAAAACGACACAGTTCCCCTGGCAGCCAGAGGTTTCCCTAGTGTGTGTGCTGGTGTGTCGCCCCCTCCTGGCACAGATTCACTATCGCTGTCCCCATGCCTCCCCCGTGTGTGTTTGTGCCCGACACTAACACAGCACCAGCTGCATCTTGCACCCGTCGCTTCAGACGTCACGCTCCCGAGATCCTGTCTGTTTCTATGTGCTGACGGCTGGTATGACTCTGGCCTCCTCTCCCACGCCAGCAGCTCAGGACCCCCCCCCCCCCTGGGGACACCAGCGGCATTGCAGAGCCACTGTACTTCTCTGTGTGAACAGGTTACACTGAAATGCACCGGGGGCAGCAGCACACATGAGCCCCCGAGTCCCCCGAGCTGGTTTTGGGGGGAGCTGCTGAAGGACGGTCTAAAAATGACAGCAGGGAAATCGGAGTTTCTCTCGTCGGGTTAAATGGTTCCGAGCCAGTGAGCAAGCGACCTTCGCAGGGTGACGATGAGCCTGAAGCCTGTCCCAGGAAGTACAGGGAACAGGGGGCCAGGGGGGGGACCTGAAGGGAACCTGCGGGAACATGGGGAGAACCACAAACTCCACCGACACACAGAGCTCCATCCTGGGATGTGTGAGGTGATGGTGACTCTCAGCCGCTGTGCTGCCCATGACCGAACATCATCCTCCTATATCCATACAAGACCCTTACAAAGGAGTGGAAAAACATTTCTTTTCGAAGTTTGCTGATGAGAAATCGCTCTGGCTCCTTTTCTCCTAGCCAGGTGCAGTGGGGTTTGCTTTACACGATTCTCACAAATTACATCTTGAAAACAAATCAGGAGGCTCACATCCAGCTAAATTTGTTTGCGCCAAAGTCTGCGTGACACACAGATTATTCCATCTCCGAAGTCCTGGGGGTGTAGCGCGCTGGGGAGAGCGATGACTCAAGCGAGCGCGCCTTTGGAACCCTCCTGTAACGTCTGGCCCCAGCCAGCCTTTCGAAGCTGTAGTTGTGCTCTAGAAGAGGCTCCATTGTGTGGTCCAGCCACATTCCCTCCGTGCCAAAGGGATCTGGCCGCCACCCGGGCCAAGGATCCCCCCCCACAGGATTCGGCCCACGTGATGGCAGACGAAGATAAAGGGCCTTGTTTGCAGCCAGAAAAAATTGCTTGTACAAGACCCAAGTCATAAGGATGCCCCCAGAGCAAGCAGCTCACCCCAGATCACCTCAGCCAGACACCCAGCTGTGTTCCACATGTAGGTAAACATGGGGAAGTGTGACATCACCTGAGAGGAGCCGCACATTTAAGGAAGTGAAGAGTCATGTGGGTGTAGCTGCATTCCTCCCCCCTTCTTGACTCCGGCCTTTGGCTCGTGAGCCCCATTGGACCGGGACCTTAGACTCATGGTCCTGGGACGCCTGCAGCTGGCTGGACCTCATGCCGCCTCAGCATCTGCTCACTAGCTGTATGTTGCTTTCTCAGCTGGCCAGCTTCCTGTCGGGCATTTGGGGCCACCTCATTTTCGTTGTTCTGCTTCAAATATGGTGGGGGGGAGGCAGGTTTCGGGGACTGGAACCCTAAACAAGGGGTCAACGGCGGAGAGAAGACCGGATCTCTGCGTTTCTCCGTCTCTCCACCTTTACCTTCTTGTCAACATTTCGGCCCAGCGAGTGCTACTCGGAAACAGAAATGCACAGCTGACGCAGCGGCGTCTCTCAGAGTGGGGGGGGGGGGCTAGTCTCAGCTTCCAGGCCCCACTCAAGAGGGAGACGCTTGTTTCCTTGTGTTTACGTGGGACTGAACCTGAGCTGCGAATCTGACTGACAGAAACGAGACTATTAGGGGACCTTGTAAACAGAATCACAGCTTGTGGTAGAGCTGTAATAAACCCCGGCGGGATCCTGGGGGGCCATAAGCCTCTCGGCATGCCATGGGACCTGAGGGGTGTGGGCAGGCCTGTCCTGGCATTCCCTCATACGTTGCATAGGGTTAAACATAGTTAATGCGAAAGGGCTCCTCTCTGTGTCGCTCATGTTGTAAGTGCGTGCTGTGCTTGTAGCATTATGAGATGTTTGAGATGCTTATGACTTTCAGGGCCCAGAAGATGAGCTCTCAGGGTCCTGTAGTTCCTCAAAGAGAAAAGTGAAGTGATTACTGGTGAAACAGCGTGACTCCGTGTGCTAGTGACGAGGATACGGGGCCCATGGTCCATGTGATTTCTCGCCCAGCGCTGTGGAAAAAACATGCATCGCTTTCTATCCCTGCAGAGACAGACACGTGGGAAATCTATGACCCAATGCCGTACTGCAGTGTAGCCCTGAGGAGACCATCCATTCATACGGTGCTGATAACTCCCCAGTACCAACCCAACCACTGTAATGTCCAGGGCAACAGAGTCAGCAGCTAACCCAACACATGTGCATGTCATAGGAAAACATGCATGTTATTCCCTATCAGAGGCCCCCAGGTCCTGCGATGCTGCTCCTCACACAAACCGTACAGCTTAAGTAAAATAAAACATATCATGCAGACAATAACTGTTAAAGCCATTGAGGAGTTAATAGTTTATTATTATTATTATTCTGAATCTGCTGAAAACATATTCAGATATATTTTTCTAGTTGCACACAGAGTTGGGTGCAAACAGTTAGGATTTCAGCGTAAATGAAGGGGATTTATCCGCTAAAGATGTGAATAATTCCTGGAACCTGCAATTTGAGAGATAAGAGCGCACTTAAATAGCCCACCGCTAATCCCGTGTGTGTCTGCAGCAGGAGCTGCCAGGGAGGCAATTCAGCTGCTGTGACAATCAGTGAGGAGAGATCAGCCGATAGGGAGCTGGCAGTCAGGCAACGCAGCGGACAGCCCCTGTGCAAGAAGGTCCCCGTGCATGTCCACCAGGCTGGGTGCCATCTACTCCTCCCAGAAGGCAAATCTGTCTCCAAAAAGGAGAACAAGGAAAATAGGAAGAGTGAAGGGTGGGGTGGCCATTACTGCTGCCTGTCGCTGCTGTGGGACATTAAAAGAGGACACAGCCCTTGATGGACAGACGTTAAGGACAGTCACCA